ATATATATATATATATAAATTGCCACCCACACAGTACTGGTGACATATTCATTTTTTGGTGTAAGTGTATTTTATTTTAAAGGCATGTTTAAATACAATTAAATGTAAAATTATTAAATCAAAACAATCTAAAATACCTTAGCGGGCCGCGGTAAAATTATCAAACATTGACCGGTCCGCGGGGATAAAAAGGTTGGGGAGCGCTGGTCTAGAGAATAAACACCCTGATTGGCTATTCTCTATTGCTGAGCGGTTGTCCACCCTTAATCCCTTCCCTGTGGAATAGTTTTAAAAGTGGGTTATGACACCCTTGGTGGATCAGCCTGTCTCTCCCTAACCCTAGGCAATAGTTGTTCCAGTCAAGGATTTTACTTCATTTAAAGCAGAACTGTACTTTAACCATATTGATTGTCTGGGCCAGAGATGATGTTACTCCTACACATGCATGCAGGAGTTCATTCACTGAGGCATGCCAAGAATTTTTCACCAAGCTGCACATGCTTGCAATAAAAAGGCTTGGCTGCTTGTACTTGTTTACTTTTACAGTTGTTAGGCTTTCAATATCAGATGGACAAAAAAAAAGAAATCCTTCTCTAGGTTGATATAATCTATACATTTTTTTTTTTGTGCCGGTTTCTCTGCTCCAACCAGGGTTTGCGTCCACCAGAATCTCCCAGGCAGCTTCAGACTGGGCTTATCTTTTGCACCCAGAACTTGTTGCTGAGAACTCATCTCTGCACCTGATTAATCTGATAGGTTAGATGGTCCAGATATAATCGCAACACCTCCTCTGGATGCAAGAATGGTAGCCTGCACCAGTTCTGTGGCTGTTGTCCCCAGATTCCTTTGGTTAAAAATGGTGCTTGCCCGATGAGACTTCCATGAAATCTCACCTTTCATTCATAGGAGGTGAACTGTGAAGACCCTCCCTTTGATGAGATCAAGGACATCACAGGTGGGAAGACTTGCCACTCAGACATAATTGGGTGTGTTGTTATTTACTTATATTTTTCTCCAAGTCAGTGCACTGGCCGCCTTCTTCCTCGCTGTGGTTTTCAAGGTCCTCTGCTCTTCTGGGGGCCCCAGGACCATGGCAAAGTAGTTCAGGATGGAGAGTGTGAACACTGAGACGGGAGAGCTGCACTTGCAGCCTTCCCATCTCAGCTGTCACAGGAAAGCCAGCACAGTGCTGTGCTAGAACTCCTGTATTGGAGGTGACAGGGTCAATAAAGAGAACCAGTCACCTCCAATTGCTATCACACGGGTTTATTGGCTCTTGTGTGATCGCAATAACGTTAAGTGAAAAACAAAAATAAGAATTAAAATTATGAAAAAGTAAAAAAAAATAAAAAAAATTTAAATGCAAAATTTAAAAAGGCAGTGATGCTGAACTTAAACCCCAGTGTTGTTTTAAACCCCAGTGCCCAAACTAAAACACAATACCAAACATATTTTAGCATATGCACTTTGAGATAAACTGATTTTGTGTCTCCGTTTGGGCACTCGGGCTCCAAAATGTTAGCCATCACTCGTGTAGGCTATCATGGAAGCAAGCTTGGAGCACCTTTCAGAAGGAAGGACAGTGTCACACATGGTCAGCTGAATTTCATCCCCTTAATTTCAACAGCCAAAACTAGGCTTAAAGGAGAACTATGGGGTTACGGCTTTTCCCCATAGATCTCCTTAGTGTAACGGGAGGACACAAACTAGCATCCTCCCGTCACCTTAGGAACAGTATACTGAGACGTCGCAGTATACCGCAAGCTACTGCTCGCGGTATACTGAGACGCTGAAGCGGATGCCGACAATTATGTCTGGATCCGCCCAGCTTCGTGAGTGACAGCTGGCTCTGCCTATCTAGAGGCAGAGCCAGCTGTACCCGTCCGATCCGCCAGTCAGCCCTAGCGGATCGTGGAGGGGGGAATCCAGCTCCTCCCATGTCACGGCAGAGAGCCGTGACACCATCGAGAGATCAGCGGATGCCGGTATGTGTTCGCTCACTTCTCGATCTACTGAGCCGACCTGTGACAGTCTCATTGTCACAGGTCGGCTAGAACTATGAGGTGAGTGAAAATCACTCACCTCATAGTTCTCCTTTTAAATTGGCACAGTTTGAGAAACTCTTACTATAAATGCATGTGTTCCATTTGCACAGCATACCAAATAATATATATACAAAAAGCCTTGCCTCTTTATAGCTGTTTGTTTGGTGCAGGATTATGCATAGAAGTCTACAGACTGCTTGTAGTAGTCAGATTAGATGACTGAACAGATAGGGGGACAGACTTTTAAAAAGTGCTTAACATACAATGCCTTGAGCTTTAACCCTTTGTTAGGCCAGGCAGCGTTATTTATTTGAATCCAAACTCCCTCAGACAGTGAGTTTGCAAAAAAAAAAAGAATCTGAAGAAGGTAAGATACATTTCTAAATATTTTGTTCAAGTTATGCTATGTAAATGAGAACAAACAACAAATTTAAAATAGGTGTTTTCACAATTTGGCTGCAAAAGTGGAAATACACTTTAAGGCATGGGAAAGCCTCCCCTTTCATTGGTAGGGAAGATAAATTTGCTCAAAATGAAAATCCTTCCCCTTCTATTATAGGTATTAAGACATGCTTGTCAGTTTGGATACCATTTAAATACCTAAACATTACACTACTTAATTTTAGCTTTCCTTATGTGGACCAGCCCACCCTTGATAAAAACTCAAAACACTGCAATCTTAATGGCTGCAGGGAGGCCTAGCGTGCCCTGATTTACACAAATACTCTACTGCAACACTGTTGCAGTGAGATCTGCATTTGGGTAGTACAGCGTAGCAGCATACTGATCTGTGAGCAAAACTTTCTGTTATTGGATCCCACACTTTTCTCTGGTCTTGTGAGAAGTCGAGAATGACCATCATTCTCATGTCCGTTGTGCCTTGGTTTTTTTGCAAGTTTCAAGTCTGGGGTATTCCTGAAATCCTATTAAAAAAATAATAATTCACAGCACATTAGAATGAAAACGGCTTGAATCGTTTAGCATACTGTATTAACACTGCTCCTATCAATTTCAGTTTGAGCTGCGTTAGAGTGTTGGCTTATAACTGGCCAAGCTGGTTCTTTACTTAAAACTGACCACTGAGGGGCACTGTTCCTCCATCTGACTTCAGCCTTGTTCATAGTTCCTAATGTGTAGAATATTGTCGAGGAAGCTGGGTTTTGTGTGCTGTATGCAGTTTTAGGATTACGTTTTTGTTTGAAGTCCGTGTGTGCATGGTTTCTGACAATGCAAAGTAAGGTCACACATGACAGGAGTTTAAAAAAAAGTTTCAACTGCCTTGGTTTCTCAAACGTCCATGTGACTGCAAAAGGTAATCTTTCATTTTGAATCCGCTTGTCTTAGCTGTTCTACTTCTAGTTATATGTAGATATTTGGTTTAGTTTGTCATTTGTACATTTTTTTTTTCCAGGTTGGATTAATTGAAGCAAACGGAGAGCTCAAAGTATTTGTAGATCAGAATCTCAGTCCGGGAAAAGGTAACTAAATATTTATTTGGGTTCTTTCTATAAGTTTTACAACTAAATTATTTTACAGTGACCTGAAACGTACTGTGGTATTCCTGTAAACATGTAAACCTTCTGGGTGGTATAGATAATATACATTTTGTCTTCCTGTTATTGGGACTTATAGGGTGCAGAAAGGGTGCTGTTTATGCGCTAATAAAAATTGCGGATGTTTCCTTCAATCTGGAAAAATTGTACGTTGTTAGACTTAAAACCTGAAGTAAGGGGCTTTCAGCCTCTCCGGAGCCTTTGCCACAATGTGCAGGTATGCAAAGCATATTTGCACATTGTGGCGCACGTTTCTTGTAAAGTGTTTTCCCCTCCAGTGCTGTGATATCTGCAACCTTCCTTGCTTTGCTCTTGGTGCTTTCATCTTCTCAACTGCTTCCGGGTTCAACAGTCTTCAGCCATCTTGATTGGCCAGACCAGAGTAACTTTTGTGCATGCACACAGGAGTTCAATAATCCCGGGATTTTACAGATGGTAGGATTGTACTCTGAACTGCGTATGCTCTGTCAATTCCTAATTTTACAGGCAGGGGGAAAGGTTTGTGGCAATTTAAGGCGCATTGGAGGGAGTTTATAAAAACTGGTGCAGACAGAAATCAGAGCAGCTACCCATGGCAACCAATCAGTATCTCTTTTCAGTTTAAGCTTTGAAAATGAAACCGAGAAGCTGTGTTTGCCAAGCACAACTGTTCCAGACTCTGTCTGCTCCAGTCTTTGTGAATTTTTTTTTTTTTTTAACATATATATTTTAACATAAATCTTTAAGTTGGCATATAATACATGTGCATAGTATAGGCTCTCAGTGATACAGAGCATAGAGAATCCATTCATAAACATTCATCCGTACCCACCAGTCAATTCACATACACAAAAATGTGAACATTTTGACAATACATAACTTAAATACAGCGTGAGGAGTGGCATAGAAAGCTACTGCTCAGGAGGCATTGAACTGTAATAAGTATAAACAGTGAAGCACATTACACGGCAGGACAGCTTATCCTGATATCTCGGTAGTAAAGTAAGGATGCTTCTTATGCATACATCACTGACCAGAGAGAAGCAGAGAAAGAAAGACAAGCAGGAGAAAGCCAAACGGACTTATAGCTGCGCCCCTGATTACCCGCCTGGCAGAACACCCAAAGCAATAGGCATCCCCGAGTCTGTATTTGTAGGGAGAGCGCAGTCTCAAGGTTTTAAACCTATTTTAATCAGTTGTGGCCACTGAACGAGGTATGCTGAAATGCACAGTACACCGCTACCCCACGCCTGCAATTCTCAGCTGTTAACATGAAAGCTGGAGGTTACTGTGTAAATACAGTAACTGTCTCCATCCCCACACAGTCTTTTGGAATTCAGTGCATTTCATGCACGCAAAAACGCACGTTTAAACTTGGAATTTTTAATGTGTTTTTGTGTGCCTTTGCGCCTTCACTACATTCTGTCGGGGACGGAACGTGCTGAAATCTGCCAAAAAATCGTGCATGTACTTTTTCCTGTGTTGCACGTTTTTACATGTACGAACGCGCAGGTGGGATCGAGCCCCATAGGAATACATTGCTTTTTAAAACAAAATGTATGCATGGATCTGTGCGCGAGTAAAATTGCCTAGGTGTGAACTGTAACAATAGCTGCTGGGACAAGAACTGGCCTTTTAACAAGGTTTATAAACCGATACTATGGGGTCAATTCACAAAGCTTATTTTCTTCATTTCGGCCGTTATTAAGTAACATTATTATTTTTCATATCTATTATGTTTCATTCATCTGCAAATCAAGGGATTTCATTTTTATCTGCATATGACATTGGTTAAAGCAATCCAAGTAAAAAAAAAAAGATGCGTTCCTTTTTTTTACCCCCCTTATTAACACTTAGTTTACCCTATTCAGCTTTTAATAAACTCCTCCTTACCCTCGGTAACCTTAAAGCAGACTTTCTGTCCACTAAACCACTTTTTCCTCTCATAACCTCGCAGTAATTAGGGCTGGGCTTTTTTTTCTCTCTCCAGTCCCACTGCCATTTACAGCTAGGCACAGCCTCCTGGGATATCCCTATCGTATATCCCAGGAAGCTGCAGGAGCAGGGAAAAGCAGCGTCCAGCGGGCAAACCTGACTGGATGGCTGACTGCCTGAACATAGAAGATGCAGCCGACTCCCTGAGGCCGACCAAAATAGCAGCGTCTGTACCCAGGCAATGGCAACAGAGCAGCAGGGATCGAAACAGGACAATGCTGGATTATCTGGCAGGTAGAGTATGCAAATTGAGGACATCCCTGCCTAACAGGTTATAAGAGTTAATAAAAAAAAATGGAGGGGGGGTTCAGGGAGTAAGGACCTCCTTTAACCACTTGCCGTCCACCCGTAGTTAAAAAACGGACGGACGGCACTGCAGCATTTGCGGGTTGCCGTCTCCAGACGGCAATTTTTTTCTGCTCGCGCGCGCCCCCTAGCAGGCACGCACGGGCAGAAAAGACCCGACTATTGCACACCCGTTACCGGGTGTTTCACATATAGGCGATTAGCGGCTCCATAGCCCGCCGATCGTCTATGTGCTCGTTCGCTCCCCCCAGCAAAAATTACAATTGCGCTACACATGTTACATATCGCCGTGAACGTCGCAGTGAGAGCAATCATTTTAGGGCCATCAATCACTGATAACACTAAACTGATGAGCGGTAACAGCTTTTAAAGCGTCGCCTATGGCCAATTTTGGGTATTATCGTTTTTTGAGGGTTCGCGCACGCAATTTTAAGGCTTGACATGTTTGGTGTCTTTTTACCCGACGTGACCCCGTCTTTTATATTTTACCAAAAAATTGGGTAATAATAAATGTTTTATCATTTAATATACTGGTTTTTCTTTTTTACATTTCGGTAATTTTTCCTTTTAATATAGTAAAAAATAAAAACCCCAGTGGTGAATAAATACCACCAAAAGAAAGCTCTATCTGTCCCCAAAAAAGGGTATAAAATTCATTTCAGTACAGCGCTGCATGACGGAATAAATGTCAGTTAAAGTACCGCAGCGCTGAATACTGAAAAATGGCCTGGATGGGAAGAGGGTTTAACACCGCGGGGTCAACTGGTTAACTATTTTTTTCCTTCTGACTTAACATTTTTATTTTTCTAACTGTTAATATGTAAAATTTATTTTTGTTGCTTTTTAAAAGTGAGCAAAACATTGAAAAAAAAAAGACTTATTTAATCTGTAAATAACTTTGCAATGCTGTTTAATGAAGGTGGTACATACCTGAGTTAAACGTAAATCTGAGTTCTAGCCACATAATTGTAACATATGTGCCTTTCAAGTTAGTTGTTAAGATACCAAGTACTATACATGGTACAAGTACTGATACTTTTCCAGCTCCTAGACTAGAGAAAAACTCAGACATTTAAGAGGCAACTAGGGCTGCAACTTGTTATTTTCATCGATTTAATTGGCTTTTTTTTTTTAAAATTAAATAACATCCTAAATGTAAAAATAAAATAAAAAATGCAATTTTACAAATAGGGCTGCAACCAACTAATCGATAATGAGAATAGTTGTCGACTATTATTGATTAGTTGGTTGGCTCCCCTAACTCTCTGGGAGGATGGCACACCCAGCAGTGGGCGGGTGCAATAGCCAGCCTGCTATTGGTTATTGCAATTTGAAATGGCCAGTAGCAGGCGGACTATTGCACCAGCCCAATACCTGCTTTATTTACATTCAGCTGCCGTCTGTGGAATCTTGGCACTGGCAGCTGTCACAACCTGGCTGAAGCTATTCAAGCGTCATGTGCTTACAATACACTTACACCCGCACTGGAACGCACGGTGCCGCAATGCCCTTTGTTCCAGTGTTTAGTGCGATTGCTAAAAAACACCTCCCACCCACACAAGAACGCGCGGTACCTCCAATGCCGTGCATTCCAGTGTGATTGCAAAACCTTGTGCATGCAGTTTTATTCTCAAGTAAACTTTGTAACAATCCATTTGTGTATTTTATTTTAAAATAAAAGATATTTACCTTTTTTAAATCCAATTGATCGAAAAAATAATCGGCCAACAAATTATGAAAATAATCGGCAATTGTAGCCCTAGTGTTATCCCAGTTTGGCTGCAAAAGTGGAAATGCACTTCAAGACTTTGGCCATACCTACACCTTAGCACTGGTTTATTGTTCATCAATCTCCATGCAGAAATTCAATGACCTTGTGACAAATTTTGCCCCATAGCAGGACAGGAGTGGCAGTGTAAACTTTTTTTTCTGAAGGCAGAGATATTTTACTTCTACATGCAAATCATTGGAGGAGTTTTCAGATTTGCTTGACTGACTTAACATACCCTCATGCTGCTCTTTGTTTGCTGTGGAACTTTAGATTGCCATTGATGTTTTGTGCAGATATGTTTTCTAAGAATTTCTTTTGACCTGTGTAGGATTTTCTGCCACTTAAACTGTAGCTTATTTCCTTTGTAGGGGTTGTGTCGTTGCTGGCTGTTCACCCATCTGTTGGAAAGCAGCTCCTGCCAAAGACATTTGGACAGTCCAATGTGAACATTACTCAACAAGTGGTAAGTAGACTGTATAAAGTATATGGGGACTTGTCTTTTTGCTGTGCTAAGGCCACTGCCTCCGGTTTATGCTTGCAATGTGCTGGCTAGGCCTGTGCAGTAGCTTTTCATAGATTTCTATGGGACCATCTACTGACTGTCTTCAGTCTTAGGACTCTGAGAACGCACTCCTATTAGGCTGCCATGATTTAAATTCAGGGGGGAGCAGAGAGAAACTGGAGCAGTTGCCCAGGGCAACCAATCAGCGTCTATGTTCAGTTCGGATAAGGTTTGAAAATGAAACAGACGCTGATTGGTTGCCAAGTACAGCTGCTCCAGATTTTGTCTGCTCCTGTTTTGATAAATTCACCTTATGTCTTATATTTGATTGTCATGTTTCTAAGCTCATTAACATTACCAGTGTCGGAATAACATTTCAAGAGTTCTAAATGGCCAAACACATTTAGAACTCTTGAAATGTCATTCTGACACTGCTAAATGAAATATTTATATTAGTGTTTGATTTGTTTATTAAGGTAAAGGTTTGTGGCTTCTGAAATTTCTTGGAGTCTGTATGTTACCATAGCTTGTGCACTTAACATTGAACAAGGTCACATGGACTTAAAGCAGATGATAATAAAAAAAAATCCTCTCTCAGCATCTATTAGGGTCATGGTAAGCAGTGCATTTATCCAGTTAAGAGAAGAACAAAAGGATAGGTAGCTGAAAATAACTCGTATTATCTTTTTAGTGTGCGCTTCCTTTTTAAAAAATCTTATTCTTGGTCTTTAGTATACCTTATATCATGCTCTCTAATGTTGCGGCATTTGTGCAGATACACAGAAAGGGCATCTGTGATCTTTATGTATTGATTCCGGAGTTAAAACATCCCTCACCATATTTCTAAAGGTGTCCATACACCTTACGATTATCGTACGATAATCGTATGCGATCGACTTTTCGTACGACAATCGTAACTTGTGAATAGAGTGCCCGACGGATAGTACTGTACAATCGTACGACTTTTGACGGTCAAGCATGTTTGAAAACTTTGGTCGATCGTACGATGTTCGCACGGTTGGTGGCGTTTCCGTCCATCAAAAGTCGTACGATTAACACTGCGCATGCGCAAACGAAAATAATTAGTCAATTACCGCAAGTCGTCCAGGTGTTTTTTGAACTACCGCTGATTGAACCTTGCGATAATCGGGGCGAAAAAAATCGTACGACGGTTCGATCATCGGACGAAAAGTTTCGTCCGATAATCGCAAGGTGTATGGGCACCTTAAGAGTCGCCAACATATAGAGAGACCTCACATTTCTGGTTCTGCTCACTGGAAAGTAGTCCTGTCAGTATTGAGTTCAGACTTGTTTGTGTGGGTGGACGATGAGGGGTTAAGGTGGATGTTTGTATTTTAATTGTTTTAAAATACAATTTATATTAAGACAATGAATGTTAATGTAGACCTGCATTTGCCATTTTATTAGCAAATTCATACTGTGATGGTGTTTGATGGGTCCAAAATTGGACATTACTGACTTTATCAAATATTGTATGTATTTGCTTCAGACCGTCGTCCTGAATTATTAATTTTTTTGAACCTTTGCAGGTTATTGGCACACCACAGAGACAATCTCAACCAAATACCATCTTGTTAGGAAGTCCTCATACGCCAAGCACGCACTTTGTTTCCCAAAACCAAGCCACAGACTCCTCTCCATGGTCTGCAGGGTAAGAAAAATCATGACTGGCTTAATGTCGTATGAGCTTTTTTGTTTTTAAAACCCCTTCCAAACCGCCTTTTTTATATAAACGATGCTCCATGCTTGGGATACGTTTTATAAATGGTCTTCTCTAAAGGCCACCACTTAATGCAGCTGTGGGCTCTGAATCCCAACTGTCACTGACTGCTCAGGGACCCATCAGCATGGTTCCTGATTATGTGATCTCTATCGGCTCTGACATCTAGATCTCCTGCAAGCTGCAGACTTCTTTCAAAAGGTGCCCATACACCTTCCGATTATCCTACGATAATCGTGGGAAATCTCACGATCGTACGATAATCGGCAGGTGTATGGAAGGCGTACAACCGTTTCTAATGTATGGTCTCACGTCTTTTGTCTTACGAGCAGGCTCGAAAACCCGCCGAGAATCGTACGATTGTCGGCGGGTTTGTGGCCTGCTCGTAAGACAAATGCCGCAAGCGCACACTGCCCGTTCAGCATTGCAGTAATAGAAAACCCGCCCCTCAGCGGGGCGGGCTTGCGATGATCGCAAGTACGATCTGCCTGTCCAAGATGGGCAGAACTTACATTTTTGTAAAATTACCTTACAACCATCGGCACCTTAACAATTAAATGCCTTCAGCTTGCACAAGAGCAATGCTACCTGTAGGCTGCAATGCTCATCTGCAAAAGGTTTAGGTGTAATTATATATTTTTTTTAAAACTAAATTTAATACAAAAATATTTTTGTTAAATTTCATTTTCTAAGCCTATAATAAAAACCTGTTTGTAAAAACACCTAATAAAAGCCTTATATATAAAAATGATTTAGGTATGCGTAATTGTCAGTTATTGAGTTAAGATCCTGTGTGGCACTGCTAAATTTGATGTGGGTGTGTAGGCATCAACAACACCTGGAATTGAAGGTGTAATTGCAAAGTGTGACTTAATTCTGTTCAGACTCTGTTCTTTATGACATTACTGCTTCCGCTGTCTGCTTGCATACATTCTAGAACGACAATTATGACATTATCAGGGTAAGTTGTGTTTTTTTTTTCTTTCTAATATGCCAAGTGTAAATTTTAGGTTTATGATGTAGATCTCATGTCCTGTTTTACTTTAGAAATTTGTATAATTTAAGTGCTGTCAGTTCTGGATGAAGTAATGGATGACCAGCAGCAGCAGCAGCAGCAGTTTATTAAGACTCTGAACAGAAAAGCATCAAAAACATAGATAGGCTTCTCTTGTATGTGCTTTTTAATTGATGAATAGGACCCCAATTTGTACAATATCTGGAAACAAAAGCTTCATATATATGTGTGTGTGTCCATTGTATGCTATTTTTCATACAGTTTACATTTCTAATGTCTGCTATTTAGCAAGAGGAATAAAAAAGGTGAGAAAAATGGCAAGGGCTTACGTCACTTTTCAATGAAAGTTTGTGAGAAAGTACAGAAGAAGGGCACAACCTCTTACAATGAAGTGGCTGATGAGTTGGTAGCAGAATTTAGTTCAACCGATAACCACATATCTCCAAATGAATCGGTGAGTTCATTATTCAGTGTTCTTTTGGCATTTAGTTTTTTTTTTCTTGTTCCCTATTTTTCTTTTGTGTCTTTCCAGTTTCTCTTTGCTTTACTCTTTAACGACATATCCCACCTTTGTCTCGTCTAACACTAGCTCATTATCATTAATCATATCTTTCTGACTCAAGTGTTAATATGCTTTAAAACGCATTCCTTTAACAGCAAGCCTATGACCAGAAAAACATAAGACGGCGTGTGTATGATGCCTTAAATGTGCTTATGGCAATGAACATCATTTCTAAAGAGAAAAAAGAAATAAAGTGGATTGGTCTACCGACAAACTCTGCTCAGGAATGTCAGAATTTAGAGGTATGTTTCATGCTCCGCTTCATGTAAAACACCAAGCCTTTGTTTTTCTTATTGCAAGGTGGGTTGCTTTTGTGTAAAACATAAAAAAAAAATGGTGGTATTATCGGTTGGGACTTTGCCATGTTAAGAAGTTTTAGTATTGCAATGCAGACGGAATTGCTGTCTGCTTTGTACCGCAAGCGGGCAGGTGAGAATTGTTGATTTCCAAAAGGTCTGCGTGTGAAAATTGCACTGCTGAACTTTGTTTTGGAGACCCAGCAGGGTCTCTTTAAGGAGAACACCAGCATCCTACTTCACTGTTGTGACATAACCATTGGAGCTCATTGTGGGGTGTATGGGCATCAGACACTACCGGAAAAGTCAATTCCGAAGAGACTAAAGGAGGCTACGGTGCTAGGACTTAGAATTGTTTTTTATTATTATTGTAGCAAAATGGCATTTTGATGAATGAGATACCTGACCGACTCTGGAATTTTCTTCTGTTCATTTTAATTGGAGGCAACCTATCATAAGTAAAATAGTCCTCACCTCTCTCTGAAAATGTTTACTTGGCAGTCATGCTTACCCTCTGGTTTCACTCTTTTGAAGCCCTGACCCAGCACAGCTGCGGATACTGATTTCACCTACAGGTGGTTTGTTCTGGGTTCAGCTTGAAGTATAAGGGCCTGTTCACACGACGTCCGTTTTGTGTGCTGACCGGATCCGTACGCTGCTGCACTCAAAATGTATCCCTATGTGTTTTATGGGCTACAGTTCTCACGTGCGCAGTCCGTTCAGGTTACGACAGAAAAATACTGCATGTCACATTTTGTACGGTCCGGAAACGCAAACGTATCAAAACGCACTGCACTGCAGCTAACATACTAACAGCCCCACTCCATGCCTTTTTTACTGGAATGCATCAAAAACGCGGCCAAAACGTGGCAAAAACACACTGCATCAGTCTGCAGATTCGCACCTGATCAGGACCTGATATGTGAACAGGCCCTTAGGGTTAGTTCACACCATATGCAGTGCGTTCCGGTCCGATTCTGGCAGTGTGTTTCGGCCAGAATCGGACCGGAATGCACTGCATATGGTGTGAACTAACCCTTAAAGACAAACCAGCAACAAACATTTTCTGAACAAATGTAGCAATTGCAGTCTTTAGTATTCTCATGATGAGTGACCTATAAGTAGGTTGTTTGTTTATTTTTTTTTTACTATATAGGGACCCTGTTGCAAAAACTAAACTGGCCATATAGCTGTGCCTGCAAAAGAAGAGTCTGAATACTTCCTCTTTTGCTTCCCGCACCACCAAATACTGCTCTTTTCAAGAGAATTCCCCTGAAGTCTTGGAAACTGTCGCCTGTGAAAATGTTGATCTTATTTCCCCCTTGCACTGTTAAGAGTAATACTGCAGACTTCCACATCATTACTGTGTCCTGACTCACTGTATGCAGAAGTGGATGCAGGAAATACACTCCTGGAAGTGTCATTTTGTCAACAGACTTCGGGGAGAGATTCCTCTTCAACAGGCCAGTTTAATTTACCAGACAGGATTGCTTTAAGGTAATCTGCATCCATGTTCTTAGTCAATGACTTTGGGGAACCCTATAAGTGATCCATTAGCATTTACAGGAGGAGATTAAAGTTGGTACACACCTATTTTCCTTAGCACAGCTCACTGTCACTTTACCAAACAAAATAAAAAGCTGGTGACTGGTATGAAGAGCAAGCACCTAGACCAGTGGTGGCGAACCTATGGCACGCGAGCCTAGGTTCGGGCCACCTCTAAGAAAAAGTCAGAACGTCCCAGATCGCCGCCTCGGTATGCGATCCGGGACGGTCACGATCAGGCAGGAGCCTGCTAACACTTAGGGACGCACAGCCCCCTGAGAGAGACACAGCTCATCTGAGAACTGCGCAGCGCACCTGAAAGCCCACACAGCTCACCTGAGAGCCCACACAACCCTCCAGAGACCTGGGAGACAGGCTGCCACCCCAGAGCAACAGTATGTAGCTTATATTATTCTGCATTTCTGTATAATGTATTGCTGGGATTTTCAGTCCTCTCTAGCTGATGGTGGTATTCTGCATTGCTGTATAATGTATTGCTGGGGTATGCAGTCCTCTATAGTTGATGGTATTCTGCATTGCTGTATAAGGTATTGCTGGGATTTGTAGTCCACTGTATTCGGTGCCATTTTGTATTGCTGGGATATGTAGTCTTCTATAGTTGGCGGTATTCTGCTTTGTTGTATAATGTATTGCTGGGATATGTAGTCCTCTATAGTTGGCGGTTCAACCTTTTACAGGTTGAAGTCAGTAGCAGAACTAACAGGGTCACAACGGTCACAGTTGTACTGGGCCCCGGTGCTCCACCACTGACTCCAAGCTGTAGAGAGACTGTTCCCTTGCAGTGTGCTGCATGACATGTACCTTTTTAGTAGCACACTGCAATGGAACATTTCCCTCATTAGCACAGTACAAAGGTACATGTCACTCTGTAGTGTAGTTAAAACCTCTTGTATTGTATTCTTCGTCTAAGATTTAAGCACATAATTAGTTCAGACGGTCGTATTAAGTGTTTTTCTAAAATAATTAATCAGTATTCGGGTCTAAGTGCGGGGTTGGGACTTTGAGACACATAAGTTGGTTTAGTGATCCAGTTTGGCCACTTGGGCTCAAAAAGGTTTGCCACCGCTGACCTAGAGCATACGTGTCAATCTTAAGGCCCGCGGGCCAGAACCGGCCTGCAACGGAATTATCTCTGGCCCTCCTGATGATGATTATCATTAGATCTGGCCCTGCCAGCCGGCAGCTCTCTCACGCTGCCCGCGGTCATCGGAAAGAAAATTCTAAACCAGCTTGTTGAGGGTAAAGGCTTTAAAGCAGAACTCAAGGCAAAACTCTTCTTAACCCTTGCAGTGGGGCTACCCCCGCTTTGCAAGGGTTGAGTGCTCATTTTTGTCTAGGTGCTAAAATAGTAAAGTTATGTTCACCTGATCCTCGGAGCCGACTTGCTCTTAGACTTGTCCCTGGAGCCTCTCTTCCCCTCTGCTGCATCGGTCCAAGGGCCTGTAAGTCATCATGTCCTATACGCAGTGTATAGGATGTGAGGACGCCGAGGGACATACAATAACTGCAGTGGAGGAGGAGACAGGCTGGAGGGAGCGCTCTGACAGCTGTCTGGTTCTGTGATTCGGTTAAGTATAACTCTTATTTTAGCAACTAAATAGAAAGGAGCACTTAACCCTTGCAGTGCGGGGGGTTAGCCCCACTGCAAGGGTTAAGAACAGTTTTCTCGGACATCTGCTTTAAGACCATTTCCAAGTAGCTTGATGTTCTTGTGACTACAGTTGACATTTAAGGTCCATGAGAGTGTAGCAAACCTCCTTGGATGTAGCTGCAAAAGGAAAATCAACCCCAGATAGTGCGAATGGTAGACAAGAAGCCAAGGAGAACTTTCAAAGATCTACAAGCTGACCTCCAAGGTACGTCGGTGTTTAATAGCACCATTCAGCACTTTTTGAGCAATATTAATCAAAAGAAAGAAAAGAAACTGCTTAAAAAGCACACTGGAATTTGCTGAAATGCACATGGCAAGACACTGCATCTCGGGGGATGTCCTTTGGATAGACTAGACAAAACTAGAGCTTTCTCTCCCGTTCATTGAAGGACACAGGCAACAGATCGTAGATCCTGAATGGTAGGGTAATATCGCCACCTGCAGGAGAAGGACGCTAGGCACAAAACTAAAGACCAATTACAGCCTAGGGGCGGCCCCTGCCGGTGGCCAAACCCCCCACCTGCTGACAGGTCTCCAGTTTTTTGCCTAGCGTCAGGAGTAAGGAGCTAAAAAATTTTCTCTGGAGAATTTTTTTTCCTTTCTTCCGTTTGACTTGATTTTTCTTCTAGCAAGTGTCCCCAGGGCGACAGGCTGGATGACTGTAGATCCTTGTAGTCTCCCCTGGGTGACCGACGAGTGTCGTATGTCAGCGGTGACGCTTCGCCGTTTGCTCTGGCTAGAGTGCTGGTCGGCAGACCAGGCTTCCAAGTAGGCTCTTCAGGAACTGCCCTTTACTGGGGACCGTCTGTTCCGTTCCACCTTGGATGAGATCATTAAGGATCTGACGGGGGGTAAGAGTACCTTCCTCCCCCAGGCGCGCAAGAAGGAACAGCGCCGGAAGCATGGGCCTACTTACCCCCCCGCCCTCCGACAAGGGCGGTAAGTTTAAAAAACCCTCCTCTTCCTAATCCTCCAAGCGTCCGTGGCAGCCCAAGTCTGCCAAACGCGCCGGCAAGCCCCAGTCCGCATGAAGGTCGGGCCCCGACTCCGGGTCCCGGGGTGGGGGGCCGCCTTCGGCTCTTCGCGGATTTTTGGCTGTCCCACGTCTCCGACTCTTGGGTCCGGGGGCTGGTTTCTTCGGGCTACAAGATCGAGTTTCTGTCCCGTCCGGGCAACCGTTTCTTCCCGTCCAACACGCGACTATCCCCTTCGCGGTTGGCGGATCCCCATCGCGCGGTGGCGGACCTTTGGTCCCAGGGGGTGATTGTGCCTGTTCTCTCCGCGGAAAGCTTCAAAGGGTTTTATTCAAACCTGTTTACTGTGCCCAAGAAAGAGGGGGTGCGGCCCATCCTGGACCTCAAACGCTTGAACGCCTTCGTGCGGGTCCGTCGGTTCCGGATGGAGTCCATCCGGTCCGTGGTGGCATGGCTCCGTCAGGGGGATCTGCTGGCCTCCATCGATATCCGGGATGCATACCTTCATGTACCCATTTGCGAGTCTCATCAGCGGTATCTTCGTTTCGCGGTGGGGGAGGACCACTTTCAGTTTGTGGCGCTGCCCTTCGGGCTGGCGTCGGCCCCACGTGTGTTCACCAAGGTGCTAGCCCCGATTCTGGCGCTGTTGCGTTGTCGGGGGGTTTCGATCGTGGGGTACCTGGACGATCTGCTCCTGCGGGCAGAGTCGCATTCTTCCATGGTGACGGCTCTGGGGGTCACGGTGCGGTCCTTGGAGGAGTTCGGGTGGCTTCTGAACCTGCGAAAGTCTTGCCTGGTGCCTTCACCACGCCTGGAGTTTCTGGGTTTGGTTCTGGACACTGTCGCGGCCCGGGTCTTTCTTCCCCGGGACAAGCTCCTGAAGCTCCGTTCCAAGGTCCGGCTACTGAGGGCTCACCAGTGGTCGCCCATTCGGTTTTGCATGCAGGTCCTGGGTCTCATGGTGGCCTCCTTCGAGGCGGTGCCTTTTGCGCAACACCATACCAGGACCCTGCAGGGGAACATCCTGGTACAGTGGGACAAGTCCCCCCTGTCCTTGGACAGGGAGATTCGGATCTCTCGGGAGGCAGGGGCCTCCCTGCGGTGGTGGCTTCCATCCCCCGTCTTGGTGCGGGGGAAGTCTTTTCTTCCAGTGCATTGGACGGTGGTCACCACGGACGCCAGCCTTTGGGGCTGGGGCGGGGTCCTGGGCTCCTTGACCGTGCAGGGTCGTTGGTCGCCGGAGGGGTCCCGTCTGTCGATAAATGTGTTGGAACTTCGGGCGATTCGCCTATCTCTTCTTCATTGGTCGGCCCGGCTCCTGGGTCTGGCGGTCCGGGTCCAGTCGGACGACGCCACCGCGGTGGCGTACATCAACCACCAGGGCGGCACGAGAAGCGTGGCCCGGGTCGAGAGGTGTTCGGGATTCTGTCCTGGGCGGAACATCGAGTTCTGGCTCTCTCGGCGATCTACATCCCGGGAGTGGACAATTGGCAGGCCGATTGCCTCAGTCGACAGTCGGTGGATCCGGGGGAGTGGTCTCTGCACCCGGAGGTTTTTTAGCAGCTCTGTCGTCGCTGGGGGACGCCGGAGGTGGATCTTCTGGCGTCTCGGTTCAAGCGCAAGGTGGACAGGTTTGTGACCAAGGCCCTGGATCCCTGGGCGGAGGCCGTGGATGCCCTGGTGGCCCCTTGGGGTCCTTACGGTCTGATTTACACCTTTCCTCCACTATGTCTGTTGCCTCGGCTGCTGCGTCGGATCGCGGTCGAGGGCGTCACCGTCGTCCTCGTGGTTCAGCTTGTGGTGGACGCCCCGTGGCGTCTGCCTCTGCGTCCCGATCTTCTGTCCCAGGGTCCTGTGTTCCATCCTTCTTTACAGTCGCTGGCTTTGACGGCGTGGCTGTTGAGAGCCAGGTCCTGAAGGACCGGGGGTTGTCCGATGCGGTCCTTTCCACTATGCTCAGAGCGCGCAAAGCGGTTTCTGGACAAATTTACCTCGCACGTGGAGGGCCTATTTTGCCTGGTGTGGGGCTGGGGCCTTGTCCCCGCGTTTATTCTCCATCTGCAGAATCCTTGCGTTCCTGCAGCGCGGGGTGGCTCAGGGGCTGGCCTTGAGTACTGTGAAGGGCCAAATCTCTGCCTTGGCGGTGCTTTTCCGGCGGCCTTTGCCGTCTAATACTCTGGTTCGCACCTTTGTTCAGGGGGTGACGCGCATTGCTCCCCCTGTCCGCGCGCCTTTGGCTCCGTGGGATTTGAATCTCGTACTTTCAGTGTTGCAGGAATCCCCGTTTGAGCCTCTTCAGGAGATTCCGCTTATATCTTTGTCACAGAAAGTGGCCTTTTTGGTGGCCATCACTTCCGTTCGGCGGGTGTCGGAGTTGGCTGCCTTGTCCTGCAAGTCCCCATTGCTGGTTTTGCATCGGGACAAGGCGGTTCTCCGTCCTCGGCCGGCGTTCCTGCCGTAGGTTGTGTCGGCATTCCATCTGAATGAGGACATTGGCTTACCTTCCCTGTGTCCAAAGCCGGTTCATAGGAAGGAGCGTGCGCTCCACTGTTTGGATGTGGTTCGCGCTCTTCGTGTTTATTTGGAAGCTACGGCTTCTTTCCGCGGGACCGACTCCCTGTTCGTGCTCACGGAGGGTCCTCATAAGGGTTGGGCCGCGTCGGCGGCTACCATCTCTAGGTGGATACGTACTGTTGTGACTCAGGCATACGCCGTTAAGGGCGTGAGCCTCCATTTCCTGTCACTGCCCATTCTACTAGGGCTGTTGGGGCTTCCTGGGCTTTCCGCCACGGGGCCTCAGTTTCTCAGGTTTGTAAGGCCGCTACTTGGTCTTCTGTTCACACCTTTAAGTTCTACAAGGTGGACGTGTTAGCATTGACAGATGCTGGTTTGGGGCTCAAAGTGTTGCAGGCGGCGCTTTGAGGGGTCTTTTGGGTGTTTTATTGTTGCCCATCCCTCAGTGTGTTACTGCTTGGTGACGTCCCTACCATTCAGGATCTACGATCTGTTGCCTGTGTCCTTCAATGAACGGGAGAGAAAATAGGATTTTTGTACTCACCGTAAAATCCTTTTCTCTCCGTTCATTGAAGGACACAGGCCCCGCCCTCTTTATGGGGTGTACACTCCTAACTGCTTACTAAACTGGAGACTTGTCAGCAGGTGGGGGGTTAGGCCACCGGCAGGGGCCGCCCCTAGGCTGTAATTGGTCTTTAGTTTTGTGCCTAGCGTCCTTCTCCTGCAGGTGGCGATATTACCCTACCATTCAGGATCTACGATCTGTTGCCTGTGTCCTTCAATGAACGGAGAGAAAAGGATTTTACGGTGAGTACAAAAATCCAATTTTTTTGGTATGTCACATACTTACAAACGAAAAAAATAATCTTTCAAAGAAAAGAGCACAGTATTTCCTGTGAAACATGAAGTAGGCTCTGAAATGCTTTTTCGGGCTTCTCAAGACTATCAAGGAATTCTGGAGTGAAACTTACTGTCCAGTGTCAAAAAGCTTTGTCTCAGTTCCAGATCATGAGTCCTTCAACAGGATGTTAACACAAAACACACAGCTAAAAGCACTCAAGAATTTATACCAAAACAGTGGACTTTTCTTAAGTGACCTTCTATGAGCCTAAAGGTGCCCATACACCTTACGATTATCGGACAAAACTTTTCGTCTGATGATCGAACCGTCGTATGGTTTTCGTACGACGGCCCCATCCTGCCCCGATTATCGCAAGGTTCAATCAGCGGTAGTAAAAAAAAAACAAACACCTGAACGACTTGCGGTAATTGACCACAATTATTTTCGTATGCGCAGTGTTAATCGTGCGACTTTTGAAGGACAGAAACGCCACCAACCATGCGAACATCGTACGATCGACCAAAGTTTTCAAACATGCTTGACCGTCAAGTCGTACGATTGCTCAGTACTATCAGTCGGGCACTCTATTCACACGTTACGATTGTTGTACGAAAAGTCGATCGCATATGATTATCGTACGATAATCGTAAGGTGTATGGGTACCTTAAGAGTGGGCAAACTGCCTGTTGACATGTGCAGAAGTCTCATTGCGCGCTATAGACATCACCCTCTTTGTAGTGATTGCCTATAAAGGTTGTGCAACAGAATATTAGGTTGAGTCCCATCATTTTTTCCATTCCATTTTCATTTGTTTTATAGAAAATATTCTGTTGAATCAAAACTAAAGACTCATTTTTATTAAATATGTAATGAACCTTTTTTAGTTTCGAATTTCAGAGAAAATTGTGGGCGGTTGGTTTTTCATGGAAGGTTAGCAACAAATTTGTCCATGCATGTATGTGCAGGCATCTGCGCTTTATACCTGCGAGCAGCTTTTGTCCTGGTTAAAGTGACTGATACGTTAAAGGAGAACTATGAGGTGAGTGCTTTTCACTCACCTCATAGTTCTAGCCACCTGTGACAATGAGACTCACAGGTCGGCTCAGTAGATCGGGAAGTGAGCGAACACATACCGGCGTTCGCTCACTTCTCGATCCTGTTACAGCTCTCTGCCGTGACAGGGGAGGGGCTGGATTGCCCGCTCCCATCCTCCAGCGCTGACTGGCGGAACGGACGGGGGAGGGGACATGTACAGCTGGCCCTGCCTCTAGATAAGCAGAGCCAGCTGTCACTCACGCAGCTGGGCGGATCCAGACATAATTGTCGGGATACGCTTCAGCTGCGGCTTCTCAGTATACCGCGAGCTGTAGCTCGTGGTATACTGAGCTTTGGGTGACGGGAGGAAGCTAGTTTGTGTCCTCCCGTTACCCTAAGGAGAACTATGGGGAAAAGCCCTAACCCCATAGTTCTCCTTTAAGTTGGTAATGCATAAAATATTTTGTGACTATAGCAAAATTTAGTTAATTTTAATTATGATGTTAATTTCTTTTGTTTTAAGGTTGAAAGACAAAGACGACTTGAACGAATAAAGCAAAAACAGTCTCAGCTGCAGGAACTTATTCTACAGGTAATCTTAACTGTTCAAATATGTATCGTAAATGTTCGCCCAAGTACTATTGGTGTTATCAGTTGTAAAGCACAAACATATTCTCTCTTTTTTTTTTTTAACCAAGGGAGACCTTTTACATTAACCATCTTCTGTCCATTGGCCGTACCTTAAACGGCCGAACGGGAGGCTTGTAGATGCGGATGGGCGTTTTTAAGATATCCCTCCCCGCCCCTAATTGTGCTCAGCGCCACGCACAAGTGGGGAAACTGTCCAAAATGTAAACAGCAATGGCTGTTTACATACAAGCATTCCCAGCGTCTGTAGAGATGACCGACCGCTTGCATTTTCTGCTGGTATGCGCCCCACTCCAGTTGCCGTCGGTCCCGAGATCTGCTGTGCCCGGTGCGAGGCCGGGACCGGCACGGTGACTGTCACCGGAGATCAATACAGTCAGTGCACAATCTCCCTCTGATCTCCTCTCCGATGTCAAAATGCAGGAAGTGATGTATATTACATAATTTCCGAATCCAGCTGTCATTCCCGGCTACAGAAGCCGGAGAGAAGCTGGTGGCCAGATATCTGCTTCTCTGGGGGAGTCTCTAGGGGATATTTGGGATCTTGGAGAACCTTGATGTCTCCAAGAGGCCCTGTCCATGTAAATTGGCTCTCACATAGGGGGCTTCTTATTCCCCTATGTGATGGCAATAAAGTTAAGTGTAAAAAAAAAAAAAGTTAATATCATGTAAAGAAAAATTTAAAAAACAAACAAATCTTTAAAGTCCCCCGCCCCCACATACTCACACAGACATGCGTCGGGTGCGTCTACTCACGGAAATGACTATTGCGCCGCACATTTTACATATCATTGCAAACGTCGGAGTGAGAGCAATAATTATAGGGCCATCAATCACCGTTAACACTAAACTGGTGAGTGGTAAAAGCTTTTTAAAGCGTCGCTTATGTGTCGTAGTATTTTTGCGGGCACGTGCAATTTTAAGGCATGACAGGTTTGTCTATTTACCTGACGTGACCCCGTCTTATATTTTACCTAAAAATTGGGGTGATGTTTCACAACATTTCATAGGAAAACAGGTCTTTTTTCCCCCCAAAGTTTTCAGTACTTTTTTGTGTTTTTTATAATGAAAAAAAAATAAACTCCTTTTTAGTGGTGATTTAAATACCACCATAAGAAAGCTCTGTGTCCCCAAAAAAAGGTATACAATTCATTTCAGTACAGCGTTGTATGACTGAATAAATGTCAAAGTGCTGAATACTGAAAATTGGCCTGGACAGGAAGGGGGTGTAAACACCCTGATGTTAAAGCGGTTAAGGAATCTTCTTCCTTGCCGTATTATCGCTCAGTGTTGGCATATTATACTTTGTGCTCAAAAAACACTGCGGAAAAATAGGATTGTTGAACTCTTCAAAATTTGCAAACAGTGTTTGACGTTTCATTTAGGCCTTGTTCACACCGAAAGCGTGTGCGTTCCAGAGCGGTAGCTGCTTGAATACACCGCGATCGCTGAGAAACTTCCTCCCCCCTGCATTTATCTTTACTCTAGGGCAGTGGTTCTCAACCTTTCTAGGGCTGGGACCCCTTGGTAACATTTGCCAGGCTGTGGTGACCCCCCCAATGGTAATATTTAGGAATGCACCAATACTAGTACCTGTGTGGGCTCTCAGGTGGCCAGTGTGGGCTCATGTGAGCTCAATGGGGCTCTCTGGCGGCCAGTGTGGGCTCTCTGGCGGCCAAGCCGGCATTCAACTCCCCTCACTCCCGCCCGCTCCCCTCTCTTTGATCCTCCTCGGCTGCCGGTGCTGCAGCGCCATCTAGCGACCCACAGGTTGAGAACCACTGCTCTAGGGTTTGTTGTAGTTGGTTTTTTTCCTGGCCCCATTACAAATATAGAAACTAGAAAATTGTTAACAGAATATTCATAACCCTTTTGTATTTAAAATAGGAAGGCCTAATGAATGGTAACATTCTTGTAGGCAAACAGGCAATTAAAGACCTATATTGCATTGTGTCCTTCCTGGTTTCTGAATGAAAAGTATTAAAAAGGAATACAAAATCGAATTAAAAAGATGTAGCACATACTCCCTACTATAGCAACTAAAAAAATAATAATCTGGTTTTTGTCTTCCATTGAGCAACACAAACCTAAATCTTTGAGGTATACTTTTATTTTCAGAAGGATTGTACACTGACAAACTAAAACTGTAGGCTATCCTAGGTTAACCCTTCCCACATGCCTCAGTTTTTATGCTAGTGTCGTAGGAGGGTGGACTTAATTTATACAACTTTGTCGTGTTAAAGGCTGATGTTGGTTTATCCTTGCCTCAGTGCTTGCCATGTCTCTAAACAAGCACAGGGAGAAGGCTGGTCAGGCCAAGCACAGGGAGATACCTTGGTTACATAGGTCACGTGGCTCCTTCATTCCCTGTTCCTACCAGTTTTACCACAGGTGGAATTAATGCTGTGGGACTGGGCGCTGATGTTGTCTGCTGACTGGAGTGTTGCATGTGCACTTCCACCATACAGGTGTCAAAGCGCCATGCACCTGTTGCTGCTTCTCCTACTTGAAAAGAGCCAGGTGGAACTTCAGTCCATTCCTGCTGCCTGCCTACAGTAAATTTGGTCACCTCTGGCCATCTGTTTTGCTGCTGCTAAACACCTATTGGCTCTGTATCCGCTTAGTGAGGATTTTGTGCAGAAGTGGTCTATTTTCACTGTGTAACCAGCAGTGTTCCACCTTAACGGGGCACTAACTGTTCCAATAAGGGCTGCATCCATTTTTAAGAACTCAATCGTTTGGAAGCCCTCTCTTAATGAGTCCTGCCCTTCATCAAATTCATCATTACTTTATCAAGCAATGTCTGACTGGTTAAAATCTTCTAAAAATGATCTAACTACTGTTTACATTGCTCTCTCGCTTATAGAGCATGTGCTGACGGTTGGCTTAAAGCCTCCTGCCTTATTTCTTGCATGTGTCTCAGGTCAGTGCATATGTGTAGGGTACTGGGGCTAAGGTTCTGGACTATGAAAATCCTTGTGTAAAAAGTGTTAGATCTGCATAGCCGATTCGAAAAGAAACAAAAGGTTGTAAGGGTTTCTGGAGGGGTGTAAATGAAGCATAGCCGATGACAGTGTCTCTTTGGACCAGCTCTGAAAGAAGAAATCTGGCCCAAACGTTTATTAACCCTTACAGCAGTGGGGCTACCCCCGCACTGTAAGGGTTAACTGCTAATTTTTGTCTAGGTTCTAAAAAAAACCCCCAAAAAAACAAGTTGTATTCTCCCAAACCGCTGAGCTGGCTACCTGCTTCCCCAGTCTCTGAAGCCTGTCTCCTTCTCTTTTGACCACATGTGGAAGGAATAGTAGGGGTGGGCTCTCTGACAATGTGAAATTTACTATCCGAACATTACAGCGTTCTGGATGTATCGTGAAGTTTGTTTCGGAGTATAAGGGTCTAGTCCTAGGCACGGGTCATGCCAGAGCATTCCTTTCCACAGTAGAATTTTCAGACACTCCAGTCCCCTGAGCCATTTCCATTTTTGCATGAGTCCCAGGTCTGATGGCTTCTTCGAGACAGTCCTATTTGCCCAGTTTTACTTCAGACCTTTGCAGAGCAACATTCTGTTGTCATGGGACAAGTCAATCTGGTCTCTAGACAGACCGATTAGTTTACCACCACGGACCAGGTTGTCCCTGACTTGGTAGCTTGGAAATCGGGCTGTGCAGTCAGGGAAGTGCTTTCATTCTGTCTCTAGGATGATCCAAGAATAGACAGCCTGTCAGGCTGGAGAGAAGTCCTGCGAACCCTGTTGGTGCAGGACACTTGTTTCTTGGAGTATTGCCTCCCGATCAACATCCTGGAACCTTGGGCAATTTTCGATCTCTACAGCATTGATCCATCCTAATGTAGGGTCATCTAATTCAGATTCATTTCAACAACACTACAGTGCTAGAGTACATGAGTCATCAGGGAGGAACCATAAGTCTCGCTGTGACAAGAGATAGATCAGATCCTGTCCTGGGTAGAACTTTGCATTCCGGCCTTGTCAGCCATGTACAGTTAAAGAATATACAATTGGCTGGCAGGTTTCCTCAGCCAGTAGCTCCTAGATCAGGGGTAGGCAACCTTGGCCCTCCAGCTATGCTGAAACTACAAATCCCATCATGCCTCTGCGAGTCATGCCTGTGGCTTGCAATGCCTTAAGGGATTTGTAGTTTCAGCACAGCTGGAGAGCCAAGGTTGCCTTCCCCTGTCCTAGATTAAGTGGGTCTTCTACAACCAGAAGAGTTTTGAGGCCTCTCGCAGGTGGGGGGACACTGCATGTGGACCACCTGGCCTGTAGGTTTGACACCAAACTTGATATGTTTGTCTGCAGGTACAGGGTTCCTCTAGAGGAAATAATGAATGCTGTTGTTGCTCCGTGGGAATCAATACATCCTTATCTGTGCCTTACCTCTCCTGGAACTTCTTCCTTGTCTCCTTCTCAGGATCGCGGTGGAGGGCATTCCACTGATCCTCATTGGTTTGGACTTGTCGAGGTGGATGTGATTCACCAACCTGGGAAGACTCCTAACAGATGCTATGTGCTCTACTGGATTGTTGGAATCTTCTGTCTGAAGGACTGATCTGCCACCCTGGCTCATGGCATGGCAGTTGATGCCCAGGTTCTGAGGGACTTTTGAGTTTGTGATTGACGATGAAAGCTAGGAAGTCTGCTTTTCTTAATGTCTCATCAGATGTGGAAGGTATACTGAACTTGTAAGTCTTGAGGTTACCACCTCAAGAGTTTCTCTGTGGGTTAAATTCTCTCCTTCCTGCAGCTGGGTTTCGGACCTTCATTTGGCTCTCGGCAGAATCGGGGATTAGGTTTCTTTTCTTTTTCTATTAGAGTCCATTGGCTTGTCATGGTTTAAAACATTTGTACAGGGAGTCTCCTATGTAGTTCCCCGTTTGTTCCGTTGTGAGTGCATGGGGTCTGAATCTGGTTCTCTTTGTGCCTAC